TAAGGTCATTGTTGGCCAAGACTGTTTGTCATTGTTCGTGCAATGCTCTACCGGGACGCTCTTCTCGAAACCCAGCATAAGTCCCCGCACTGGCACCAGCCTTGTAAAGCTCACTGGCTCAGGACTGGTGGCTCTGGGGATTGGGGGTGCCTTCCTTACAGAAGCACGGAACCAAGTCTTTCTCGAAGGACGTTCAGGTCGAGAGTCCTCCGAGCTTTGGGTAAACTGGGCTTTGAGTAAACTGGGCTTTGAAGGCTGAGGGACATTCTCACACCTCAAACTCTGTGCCCTGAGACGTTTTGGATTTTTGGGGCGATGTGGCCTGCACCGTGGGATATTGCATGGAAGCAGTCTTCAGCTTGTAGGCAGTGGCGATGATGATACTGGCAGTGAGCATTGCTGACCACACCAGTGCAAAGGCCAGAGGATGTAAGAAGCACTGTCGCCGATATAGTTCTGATAAGTGCAGCTTTAAGTCTCCGAGGTCGTGGACTTTCACAATCACCAGACGTTGTTGGAAGGCCGTCTGTGCAGCGATTGCAATTTTTGGTTGGACCCTTGAACCGGACATGTCACCCCATAAGAAAGCTGTCCGGCCGGCGCAAGTGGGTGCCTCCTGTTATCGACAGGCACCATCTTCACTTCCGCGAACTACATTGAAATCCTGGCCTTCGTGCCTTGGGACTGCGAGTCTGCTCCAGGCTGCGGTCTGCTCTAGGCTCTAGGGGTTTATGGGTTTAGGGTTTCAGGGGTTCAGGGTTTGAGGGGTTTAGGGTTTTAGGGGGTTAGGGTTTAGGGCTCCGAAGACCGAGGTGCCAGCTGTCTGGATGGTTCATCAGACCGCCAAGAAAGGGGAAGACTGGAGCAGCATCAGCGGAGCGACCCGTGAAAGACAGGCAGGACAACTGTGAGGCTGCTGTCTCGTGACTCGTAAGTGTGATGATACGGCGCGACCAGGCCACCGCTTTCTTCTCATTTTTGGTCTGCTTCTACATCCTGGAGGACCTAGATGACATACTGGGCTGGGTCCACATGTCGTACTGCTAAATCTGCTAAGTCACCGGGTGTCTTCTCACATAGCGCAAGCCAGTCTTCGGAGAGGATGGAATTTATGTACCTCTTGCCTCTCACCGATCTAGCACCTTTAGTCCTTTCGAACTCTGCAGCTTACTGCAGAGATCCGAGCTCCCTCGATAAGAAGACGGCCCCGGACTGAGGCGTCGCGATATACCTCCGGGGATGGTGGCGCTTTTCCGAACGCGAGACCACTTGTGTTCAGTAGGCGGAGAAACTAAGCTGAGCACCCAGCATTACTTGGAGAAAGATCTCCTTTGCAGATGCCACCACCTACCTACCTACCACTTGGGAAGTACCTAAACAGACCAGGACCTGGTGTCTGCGTACCGGCTCATCGGCATGGAGCCCATGGGAGCTGCAGGCCGCGATAGGTAGGTAATAGTAATACTAGTAGTAGTAATAATAGTACTAATAGTAATACTCTTATATTAATTATGATAATTGTAATGATCATGATAATCTATAGGGGCCTTACGAATTACCTACACTATTTTGGGGGCTCCTTATTAAGATGATGGTCGAATCTGCCGCGAAACCCTATTCCAGTTAACAAGGCCCCTACATTACAGAAACACAGTCAGAAGAGGATGACAACAAGGCGAAGCTTTTCGGAGTCAAGCAACTGTCAGCAATGCGTTCGCAATGAATCAGACAGGCGCTGATGTTCATGATCTGCTGGCCTTGGACTGTGCAAACTTGTAGGCCTGCCACTTACCGTCATCCTCAGGCCACATCGTGCACTTCCTGCTGCTGTCCGACTTTGCTTGCTTCTTGCTCGCCCACATCTACAATCCGGAGAAGTTGTCTGGAGGTCTGCTAAGGCCGGTCCCCTTCTGCCCAAGTCACGTCTTTTTGGTCTTGGAATTTGGCACGGCCCTCGAAGC